GCTAACAGAGAGGAGTTGTTAACACTGTTAGCATGCCAAATATGCACAGAAGAGCCTGACCTCACATTCCTTCTGTATCCAGAGCTCTCTCTGACTGGAGAAGCCATTGCATACCCACGTTAGACGGCAGAGTATTTTACCTCTTGATGGGCTGAACTTCATGTGCACACAGAACTGTCCCCATCAGAATGGGATGGGAACAGCTCACATGAAGTAAAAATCTGTGCAATTGAGGTGGGGAATACAAAAATAAAATAATAACTAAAAAACCAACCCCAACTACTGTTACTGTTCTAGCTTACCTTGGACTTATTCCCTTTGGCAGGCTTAGTTACATTGGTGGCCATAGTTACACTATCTCCTGGGTATAAAACAACTATTTGAGTGTGTGCCAGAACCAACCACCAGTTAAGTGAGCTGTTTGCAGACTTGTTAAGGAAAGGTTGCCACTCTACATTCTTCTATTTGAATGGATCTTTCTCTTTTCCTTTGGCTGCAGACTTAAGTTAGGGAAGAAATGTCAATGAATATGCTAGTTGCATGCCCTGCATGAATCTTTACTTAGGCTTTCAAAGCAGATCCTTCTGGCAAATGCTTGGCTGTTTGGATATTGATTCCCTGCCATCCATTTCCGGTGATGGATGCCAAATTCTGCCTGCAATGGTAAAGATCAGATTCTGGCCTGAGCCTCTAAAACATAAACATGATTTTTACCACATGCAGCTCAGTGCAAAGTTGCACTTCCATGCTTCTTTCTGGTGAGTTGTTAACATTAGCACCATAAGAAAGGTCCTGTATCTACCATTCCTTTTGATTTGCTCATGGACCATGTGCATTAATACGCATTGCTTTTGTAGTTTTGGGATGGGTAACACCGCGTTCCAAATAGCCACTTGACTCATTGCTTGTAACAAAGATTGCCTTAAGAACATGGGAACATAGGAAACAGCCTTATGCTGAATCAGGCTCTTGGTCCATCTGGCCCAGTACGATCACACTGACTAGCAAGGATCGTAGCTTACTGGGTAGCTTGCCTGCACAGCATACAGAAGGTCCCAGCTTCTATACCTGGCTCTCCCGGGTTTCAGACAGAGGCTTTTGCAGCCCCGGGGCCTCCTGCAAGCAGATCAGGTGCTCCATCCATTAAGCTACCACCCCATTTGCAACTATCCAAGGAAGATGGGGTGGTTGTCTTTTTATTATTTTAGGCCACACAACGGTATGTGTAAGCAGCTAAGCTACTAAAATTATTGCAAACGTGCCGCACCACTCACTATGAAGAGCTTCTCTCTCCAGTGACCACATTTGTTAACAGTATGGGATTAATGTGCTGGACTTACTTGCAAAGCTTCAAGCTGGAGTGCCTCCAGATGGAGGATTCCTTGGTGGTACCATTCAGAAGCTCTCGTTTGTCTATTTCTCATTTTCTTTCTTAATGGATTATCCATTGTAAGAAGAAAGGATGAAAGAAGCAGTGGGAAGACACAGGGGTTACAAGTTGAAGAAGGCCACTTCAGGACCCTTTGTAACATTCTGTGAATGAAGCAGGGCAATGGTGCTATAAAACTCTCATCTGGATGCACCCTCACTCTTGGAAAAAGCAGGTATTAACTTGGTCATGCTTGTAATGAAAATATGATATACCCAGATCAAATATGGAAAGAAATGTACATTATTAAGAATGTGCTTATAAATATACAGAAGCAATGGCTGTTGGAGAGAGCGGATGATTGCACAAATTATATTGACAACATGCAGTTTCCCAGCTTGGACAAATTGTCTAGGAAACATATTAATGACTTCAGTGGAGGGAGCTGTATAAAATCTTATACAGGAGTCTTATTATGTATAAGATTATTTCCTTACTATTATCAATGGCTCTGATCATTCAGTCAAAGATACTGTTTAGGATCTTGATCAGCTTGAGCAGCTTTTCTTATCTAGTGCGCACAGGATGGCTGTTGATAGAGTTAATTTATTTCTTAGTCACTTGGGCTGTGACTGTGAGCTTAAAATACATGAAAATGAACTTCACCTCAACAAAGCAACTGCATTCATTCAGAAAAAAAGATAAGGTAACCCAGTTCATGAGATATTCTGGAGATTGTTTCAGTAGAGAAGGTGCATTTGTTCAGTGGGTCTAAATGAAAAGCACACTGTCTTGAATCGCAGTACCGCTCATCACCCTTCATCTGTGTCGTGGTGGGTGGGTACGTTGAGGAAAAATATCCTCTGGCATGTCTTCTAAAAAGTATAAAGATGTTCTATTATGTTGTTTGATCAATAGCTGTCAACAGAGTAAAAAGAAAATTGCTGATGGAATCATCACATGGAAAGCTCAACAATTTTTTCAGTGATACTGTATGTACTGAATCTGCATAGTGACAATGGAAACTTAGGTGAGGGTGGGGATGTCTTAAAAAAAATTTACTCTGTAGTGATGGTTTATACTACTAATTTCAGCAAAGGAAAACTTCTTTCATATCTGTTGAGGTTTGCTAGCTGAGACTGGAGGACAGACATACCTGCATCATGTTGCTGCAGCTCAGCTTTCAATTGTTAAGTGGCTCAGCACAGACACTCCCTTGGGTGTTCCAAAAATTCATTAGCAATCCTAATTCAGAGCTCTTTCTGGTTTTTTATTTTGCTTGCTCCCCTACCCCAAGTTGTTTGTTAATTTAATTTCTATACTGCCCATTAGCTAAGGCTCTTTGGATAGTTTACAACAAGCTGTAGTCTGAATTAAATTCTATGATGGACTTAAGGCTGCACAAGAAGCATGGAAGGTTCAGTTTTCATCATGAGAACTTGACGATGGAAGAAAGTCTAATATTTATAATGTTCAGGCTGCTCCATCCAGCATCACATGTGGCCATCCTCATGTGTGCTGAACAAGGCTCTCATTATTTAATTGCCCCGTCTTCGTTCACACAGTGATCACAAGGCTAGATAAAACTTAAAACAAGCACATTCACTTGGCTGCTGCTTGAGGTGTGTGTACACAAAACTGCAGATGTCAGTGCCAAGTGTTGGTTACTAGTTATTATGTACTTAACTGTGTACCATATTACCATACAAATCACTTTTCCCAATCCTGATTGCAAAAAGATCTTAATATCTGATCTGAAAAATTCTTCATGGTAGAATTTGGGTGCTCCAAGAGCTGTAGGACTGTTGGAAAGGATGTTAGTGTAGCCGTTTGCCCAGTGGATTCAAGGTTTTCCATATGTGTACTGTGTAAACAGGTTATGGAAACTGCAACCTAAATGGCTTCTGTGCTTGTTACAACACTTGAGGCAACAGAAATATGTTAAGAACCCTAACGCTGACTGTGAAACTCTACGCCAGCTACCAAACACATGGAGGAGTCTTACATTGAGCTAGTCTGTTTCCCATCTCCTCCTGTCTAATATTCTTTCAACTGGATATTTCAGAGAGTGAATTTTCTTTGGCTCACCATCTACTGGGACTGGTGGAACAGATGACAAGTTGTCAGAGGTGAAACAGTCTTTTGAGCCCTACATTTTATCTCCTCTGCTGTGCTTCCACCATCAGGCCATGGCAAGAAGAGGAGGGGCAGGGATCAGTGCGTGGAACACAGTAACATCATGATGTCAGGCAAGACCAAAGAGGCTGCTGTGCTGTAACAGCAACTCAGGCCTGTAAACAGTTACACTGCTGCATTGGAACATTGACCCCAGGAAATCTGGAAGGAAGCTTCCATAGATTAGATGAGAGGTCGCCTTTTAAAATCTATTTTAGGCTGTTGAGGTGCTACAGCAAATGATGACCATTACAATTCCATGCACTTCCAGTGGAAGGGGGCACCACTGGACTTGGTGTAAGAGTGCATTCCTGTGGGTTGCACCCAGGCTGCACGCAAACCTCTCGACTCAGAGGCTTGCAAGGATCTTATGGACAGCAGAAGCTGGGCTCTGCCTCCTTGTTGCTGCTGCTCCCCAAGTCCGACTTGGGCCACCTCAGTGCAGCACATTGGATGGGGAGGGAAGGAGGTTGGAGCACCGTATCTTGGATAGCTTTGTTCTGCTCTTCACCAGAATGTCCCTTTTGCCCCATCTTTGAGATCATTTTTCCGTGGTGGAAGGGGGATCTAAGCGCAGATCTCCAGCTCCAAAGGGAGAGCTCAGAATCCAAGGAGGTTTTTAGGACTGATCTTGGTGGTGGTGGTGGTGGTGGTGGTGGTTCATTTGCATTAAATAATGAGAATAATTTTATCATCATTATTTTTAAATTTAAATTAAGATATGCAAAAGAAAAACAACTTCTACAAATTAATCGCACAGTACTATGTAAACTGCCCAGGGAGCTTTGCCTATTGGACAGTATAGAGGAGGAGGAAGAGGAGGAAAGACCTACTACATTAAGTGGGGCTGACTCCAGATTAAGTGTACATAGGATTATAGCTCAAATCTGGATTAATTTGCCCCAGCCTTTCTAATTGCCATATCTTTCAGTGCTGTACTAATTTAATTTATTTATTTTTATTATAGTTCTACCCTGCCCATCAGCCCAAAGTCTTCCTGGGTGGTTGTTCTAATTTTAAATACACCAAAATTGGCAGAAGGGACATTATTATAATAGTGTAGCTTATGTACAAATATAATCATTGGAGAACCTAGCTTCCCAGTATCTGATAAACAAATCCCATTTCTGTGACTGAAGTGGAATTTATTTCCAAGTAAACATTTATATTATGGGGTTGCAACATTTGTAGCATGGGGTTGTTGTGTGGGCTAGTAAGAAGACTTTGTAGCCATCTGTCTTTCATGGACTGACTTGTAAGTCCAACTTCATCTTGTTATTGATGCACTAGAACTGCACCATGTCCAAGTTTTGTCCAACCTAGACCCAAGCAAAGAGGGTGGATCCACTTGGTACATAAGAGTAATCACAATACTGTTTTAATTTTAATAGTCTGTATACCAGTGGCTGAACTGAAGGCTTGGAACTTCAACCTTTTCTCTCATTTTCTCTTGTAGGATTGTGATGCCTTTCATAAGATCCTGCCTTATGGTCTTGCCTCCTGTGCAGGCTGTATGGAAGAGTGTGACAGATGTTTTCATTGCACCCTTATATCACAGCATAGGAAGGTGCTTTGCAGCAATCAACATACGCCTGGACAAAGAGTGAACATCTGGGATTCAACAATCCTCTAAACTTCAACGATGTTAGTCCTTGCTGACATAGCTTGGAAACATTTAAACATCCATTCCAAAACTACTACTCTTTAAATGATTTTTTCTTTTCTTTGTTTTTCTTCAGTTGGGTTGCACTTTTTTTCTGGAACGGAAGCTTGCTTTGGGGAAGAAAAAGAATTCTTTAAGAAGTTAGCTCATATTCTAACTGAAAAATAATGGGCTATGTTTGGCAATGCCTTGTTTTAATGGTACTATGATTGTCCGGTTGCCCCAAACTTGACATACATTAGCAAAGCACATCTGCTTGTCTAGAGAGGGAGCTACATAACTATTACGAATCTTAACTACAGGAAGTCAGTGTGCACTAAATCAACTACATGTGTATCTAAATCCCAGTTTCCTTGGAAGTTATATCAGCACTAGACCTGGCCTTTATCTCACTGTTAAACTATACAGCTGATTCCCAGAATTATGAATGCTTCCACAATATAGTCACGTCTGAAAACTTTCCTCATCTGAATCCTACTGGTTAACATGCTACATAAGCAGCCTGCTTGCATGACCCTTCAGCATCCTTCTGGCCCCAGTGCCTGCTTCATCTGCTCCAATCCAGTGGGTGTTCATGGGCAGCTGCACTTTGGTCCCGCAGTTAGTAGCAGAAGCTGAGCTTGGGCCGTAATCAAGATTTGAGTTGGAGGCTTGAGAACAACACAGGAAAGGGCAGAAACCTGGGATAATATTTGATGAAATAAGCCTCACTCTGCCCGTGAACTCCAGCGACCAATGCTGCATTTCCCTCTTCCCTTTGATGCTTAAAGAAACTGTGAGATCCCTGAATACATGTTTCTAGGTAGGTGTTAGCCTAGGTCCCAGCTCAGATCACATGAGTGCCTGTTGAAGCACTGGCATCCTTGCCATGGAGCTCAGGTAACAAATGTGTTCCGGGCCACATCGGCAGGTTGTGTAGTAAGGGAAAAATGCAGACAGCCAGTCCCTTTCAAGTGAATCAGGAAGTCATTTCAGTAGATGGCTTACACCAGGGGTGGACAACTTCTGACTCTCCAGATGTTCTGAGTTATGATTCCCAGATCTCTCACCATTAGCTGTGTTGGCTTGGGATGATGGCAGTTGTGGGCCAAAACATCTGTGGGGAGGAGCACAACTTGCCTACACATGGTTCTGGACTTGGGTGAGAAATCTTTATCGTTATGGTGTTTTGCAGGATAATGCCCCCTCGCCTCATTCTGAAGGGTGCATTCTCTCGAGGATTCGTGGGGTTCTGCAGATGTGGTCATAGTTCACAATCCAATGAGTTGTGTTCAGACATTTATGCAAAATCATACAGAAAAAGGGAATTACTTAAATACTTCTGGTTTTGGCTTACAAATTCCTAAAGATGAAAAAGAGAACAGCAAACGTATTCCAAATTCCTTTTTATCCACACCCCCACCCCAAATTTGGGCTGATGTGGGTTTTGGGCAGGTAATAATTCCTCATGCTTTATTTAATGAAATATTTTGACATTGCTGTATATATTGTGTTTTTATGTGTGTAAATGGTATTGGATGGGTTACCTTGATGTGTTATTTTTTAAAATTTCTGCATTCTTGCCACACTGTCATTCTAATGAAGTGGGATGCCTCAGCCAGTTGCCTGCTTGGGTAATCTTCTGCCATGCACTGAGAGGGTGTAAGCAACATACATGTCCAGGAGGGTTGGCATATGGAAAGGAAGAGGAAGCCTTTGTGAACTGCCCTTTGCTCAAGGAACCTGATGCAGGATCCTATCACATCTTGGAAACTAGCGCATCCCATGTGGAAGCAGCTGCTACCTGCTTCTCATCTCAGCAGTGTGTGGATCTCTCTTCTCCCACACTGGGATGCATATCGTTCTTGTGTTCCTGATTCTTGCAATTTCCATGCCTGGAAATACTGGCATGTGGCACTTTTGGGTGCATGAGCATCTCTAGAGTAGGACCAATGAAATTCTAAATAAGTGGGGTTTTGTTGTCTTGACTATGCAAAGCATCAGTTGAAACACCCATGTGATTCAAAATATACCAAAGACTGCATATAATTTTGATACCAAAATACAAGCTATGCAAAAGATTCTGAACAATGTTTTTAAATTTGTTTTTATTAAAATTGTCTATATTGCATTGAAGAGTTTCTGCCTTTATAGTACAGCAACACTATTCAATAATTCACATAATAAACATTTTACTGACACCTTGAACACACCTTTGTATGTTTTATTACAAAAAGAAATGGATATATTTAAAAACCTGTTCTCAATGGGATTGGCTTTTAACTATGACACCCAAGTTTCAAACAAGAAAAAACTGAAAAAATACTTTATTCTGCCCACATTTCAGAAAGAAATTTCCTTCTTGGGGGCCATTTACCTTTCTTCAGATGTATCAGACAGAATGCTTCTAATGTTTCTTTTATCTTGAAATGCTCAAAAGCTTTGGACAGTGCAGTCCTATGGCCACTAGACAGTCATGGGGCTTTTGTCTGACACAACTACATGGTTGCAAAAGTGCTTTCTAATCTTGCAGCTGGGTGTCTGCACTCATCACACTTTGCAACCCATACTTTGAAGTAAGTGTAGAGCAAGAATGCGGAGACCGTCTTTGCCTTCATGCTAGTTGCACCCTTCATAGGATGGCTGAAACCCTCCAACCTCAGCTTCCATTGCACCCTGGATAAAATATGTTTCTAGGCACCCAAAAACATTTGCAACACATAAATGCCTTCTCCCACTTCCATTTAAGGCTTTACAATGAATATTATTGACCATACATTTAGTACAACTTCGAAAGTTTTATATGCATGCCATGAAATATGCAAGTCACACTCATTTTGAACAAGATAGTTACACAGTCGATTGGAAAAAAGAGGTGTCCAAAGATTTACAGTATCAGACAGTGGTAGCATACATTTTCTCCAAAATGGTTTCTTATGTGAAAGGCAACATGATTCTCTGATCTCTGTCCACCCATAGATTTTAATTAGACTTTTTTTCTAATTGAATCCTAATAAGCAAACGCTTAATTCAAACTTGACACTATATCCAGGCAGAAAATAGTTGAACTAAAAATATGGGTCGTATAAATGAAAAGGACCTGCCAACTTCAGTGAATATGGGTCAAATTTTTAAAATAAATGGTTCTACTTGACCCAAACTAGTGTTACAATAATACGTACATCTATGTGATAGTACATCTCAGTGAACTCATAAGGTCTTATTTCTGAAAAAAATATGCACAGGGTATATTTCTGGGTATGGGCTCCGCCCAATGGGATTTGTATGCACATCCCAAACTTAAGTAAAGCAGTGTATTGTAATAAATATCAGTATATTTTCAAAACAGTTTTCCACTTAAGCTCTTTGCTTACTATTTTTCACAATACCAAGGACACTGATCATTTTCTGACATTACAGAATTTTTTTGCAAGCCAGTTGCAAAATGCATATGAGAGAAGTTAGATATTGCACTTGGTTGGTTAATAGAAAATCTTCCAAATCATGTTTGGAGGGTCAGAACATGCCATCTGAATTGGCCTGCACAGTGTTATTTCAGTTTAAATAATAGCCGGAGTTGCCAACCTTTTTGGTCCAGTGGGCACATCTGGAATTTTAAGAGTGTTGGTGCTGTCCCAAAATGGCTGCCTGGCAGGAGCTTGCCCATTTACAAAATGGCTGTCATGGTGGGTGTGGCCAGTCACAAAACATCCATTTAACAGCATCAACCCATTGCTCTGCAGAACTTTCTTTAAGAAGAAAGATCACTCTCCCAGTCTATGACCTACTTTTCACTGGCCATCATTTCCCCCTATTTCCAATCTTCAGGTATTAGTATTGTAGTCTAAGGAGGCAAGATGGCACTATCCATGGCACATCAGGAAGGTGTCAATAGCCACCATTGTTCCGAAGAAAACTGCAGGACCCCAGTTGAGAACATGCTGCTAAAAGTACAGACATGCATACTTGGTTTGGCCCTGAAAGTGCTGGATTACATAGGCCTTTGGTGTAATTAATCGTGGCTTTTCTTCTATTTTAAGCTGTTTACTCCAAACAGAACCTTCAAGAACAAGTAAGAGTCTGGGGAAAAGAGATTTTCAGAAGAAAACGGTTGCAAGGGGCATACACCACACCATGAGCCCAAGGCTGCTGCTTTTCCAAACTAAAGGTTACAAGCTTGACCATGTTGGCTGAAAACTGGGACTAGTGTGATTTCCAGAATGAAGTGGTAGAATCCTGAGATGGTGGAACTGCCTATACCACTTCAGAGTGAAAATTTGTGAGATTTTTGAACATTGTCTCATATAAAGGACTCTCCAAGGGATGACAACCAGCACAGCAGGGAGAAAGGTTTGGCCTCAACCTATTCCCTGCTGTCCTTGCTTTGTATTTAAAGGAAGATCTGTGCAGGAGACCATTCAGACATGTAAACTCCTTCCACCAGCAATATGGAGTGGTACCATCTATCCTACCCCTCAGGAGGGGGGCTGTCACAGCCACGCCCTGGCAGATGCCCCGGCTGGGAAGCTTTGCAAAAAAAAAACTACCCTCGCTCTTTGGACTTACTACTGTCTGACCCTGTACCGAGGTGACTTGCATAAACAGCTACGAATCTGCATCTGAGGCACTACATGCCAATGTTCAAACACTGTCGTTTAAACATTGAGAGTTGCAAAAACAATGAAGAATCTTCCAGCATCTAAAGATGAACACATTTATTTTGGCATAAACTTTTGTGGATGTTGCCCATAAAACACTTGTCATTTCTGCTGCAACAGACATACCTCTCTGCCTCTCTGGAAACTGGTGGCCAGAAACACCCTTGCTGCTCCCCTGCAATTAGCTCAGAGCTCTTTCAGTAGATCCCAATCTACTTTCTGCTCATCTCTGTTCTAAAGAGTGTACAGCAGCCTAAAGCTGTTGTTTCTTTAATTTGCAAATATGCTTCCACCAAGGGGATCCAGGCGGTGCACAGAAGCTGTCTAGATGATGAATTACAACAACACATAAAATGCAAATAGTAATGCAGTATAAGATACAGATAATAGAGACACTATAAAAATTCACTGCACAATTTAAAAGCCAAATTTAAAACTGAATTGAAAACAACTGCCATAGGAACACAAAATAGCAAGACCTGTTCAACAGCTGACATGATGCTTCAAATTATCATTTAACACTGATTAAATGACTTGTTGTGGTGGGCAGTGTTAACCCAGAAAGCCTATTCTGTAGTTGAGGGGCCACCACTTAAAAGGCTCTCCTCTTCGTTGCCTTAAAGCCTCCTATGAAGTTGGTAGTTGGAGACAAGCACCAGATCTTGATCATAGTGTTTGGGTAGATGCAGCTTTGTGTGCAGGGGCATGGACACGTATGATTTCAAACTGGGGTATCACTTGGCTTCAAAACACCTTACATCTGTTACCTCAGTAGTGCAAAGTGTTACTTGTGTGTGGTCAAGGCCACCCATATTGCACCAGAAGTGCAGAATATAGCAATTTACTACAACTCTTTTGTCTTTTGTTGTCTTCAATAGCTTTTAATTACATTTGGCTCTTACAATAGCCTTCAGCTGTTGGCTGGCTTTTTGTTGTTGTTTTTCACCTGCTGGCAGGCCCCACTATCTTCAACCCTATTATGCCAGTAGTTACTTTTTAGATGATCTTTGAAATTACTGGATTGTACTTGTGATTGTATTGTAATGTTTTTATTATAAGCTGCCCTGAGGGCAGGTGTGTGTGTGTGTGTGTGTGTGTGTGTGTGTGTGAGAGAGAGAGAGAGAGAGAGAGAGAGAGAGAGAGAGAGAGAGAGAGAGAACACACACTCCTATATTAGTAGGGTAACATGACTAAAATCATGACTGCAAAATGGTAACCTGCTTTGCCCATATGGCTTGCAGGCTCCAGTAGCTAGTTCTGTGCTAACTTTTATATCTTTTGGGATATGTGAAATCACTTGGATATTTTATGTCATAGGCAAGACAATTATGTTAAAGACTTGCCAATCAAGTGCAAGAAACATCCATAAACTGACCCTGGCACTTGAAAGGTGGACACTATTTTATTCACTCCTGATCCATTTTATGGCAGGCATATTTGTGGATTATGCAATAAATCCACAAGTATGCAATAGTATGTCAAAGTTCAGAAAGTCGTGGTGCAATCCTTTAGGTTCTGTGGATCCAAATAAGCAAAGCATGATTATTCTAGCAGCTAAAGCAAACAAAGAAACACAATTTCGTACTCTTGGCAGTATCTGAACTCATCACGAAGGCTCCTTTCCAGGGCACTTCAAACATCTAAGGTTTCACCTGCACTAAACAAACTATTAAAGAAAATGGCTGCACTTTGAAAGGGGGAACTTTAAAAAGGGAGCCAGCTCTGAAATATCCCAGCCAGCTCCTTTGTGCAGGTAATCACAGTCTCTTCCAGTGACCATTCTGTTCATGTGAGCACTAGAATCATACACAATGCTCCTTCTCATCCATAAATAAACTCCAAGTTGCAACTTTTCTGTTTGCTCTCTGGTGAGTTTGCTTTTCCAGTATTAGTGCTGCCCGTGTGAGCGTGGGCCACTTTGGTCTCTCTCAACCAAACGCCACAATTCTTCATAGGCTGTCCCGGAATTCTTCTCACTGAATATATAAACTAAATTCTACCAGACCTTAGAATTCTTTGCACTGCTCTTTGCAATCCTACATGCTGCTTACAAAAGAAATGAGCAAACCCATACAACCTTGCACACAGCATACATGTTGAGGACCATACAGCTAACTAAGGTGGCTGGTTGCATTACCAGTTCCAGGGCTGATGCAAAGCACTGGTTTGGACCTTTAAAGCCCTTTGCAACTTGGAACCAAGTTACCTGAAGGACTAGGTGTCTCTGCATGTACCTGCTTACTCTACCAATTTCCAACAGATGGATGCTCTACTTTGATGCCTCCACCTTCCAAGGGAAAGGGGTTTACAAGAAGTCCTCTACATATGAACAAGTTCCATTCCAAGAGTGCATTCATAAGTCCAATTTGTTCGTGAGTCCAACAGTGTTAGCCTAGGTACCCACCTAGCACAATTGGCTACTATAATAAGTTTATAACAACACCGGAGTACTTCTCTTGATGTCACCAGAGTACTTCCAGAAGTTATACTTCTGGGTATGTGGCAGCGCGGAAGTGTACCCATTTTGTTCATCTGATCGGTTCTTCCTCATATGGTTTTACTGTTAGGTTGGTGCGACCTGTGTTGTACTTTGCTGGACTCACCTCTCTCAATTATTACTGTAAAGAACACAAAAGCATGTTTGGATCTTTGAAAGTTTGCAATTTGAAGGTTGTATGTAGGGGACTTCCTGTATCGACTGTGGAATGACCTCACCAGGAAGGTTTAGTTGGCACCAGCTTTTGAGTGCCAGGTAAATAAGTTTTTATCCTCCCAAGCCAAATTCTTTAATTTTTTTCTTCATGTTAATGATTCTGCACTACTCTCTTAGCAAATTTGACCACTTTGTTTTGCTTTGTAGGGGCAGTATCCCGTGCTGCTGCTTTGCTTATGCCATTGACATAGCACTAATCCACCAGTGTTTTCCAAGGTTTTTCAAGGAAGCCCATTATGCCAGCATATGTACAGATAGTCCCCAGGTTACAAACATATCTGTACTTATGAACACACAGTTTGCCATAAACCCATATGAATATCTCTAATGAAAAGCCATGATTATCTCTAGGGAAGTATGTGATGCATTTGGAAACTCGTCATCAGTGGTCACGTAGTTCCCTAGAGATAGTCATGGCTTTTTGTTAGAGACAAGAGATTTTCCTGAGGTATCCATGGCTTAGCTTTTTGCTAGAGATGGACAGTCGTGGCAACTAACTATTCCCTATGGAAAAGTTCCCATATGGAACTATGCAATGCTTTTCTGGCTCCAAATCTGTGGCTGCATAGTTCCCTAGAGATACAGTATCTGAGTGTTTCATTCCATGGCATTAGCTCAATTGTACCCAAACTGGTGTATAGGCATGTGTTTCGGAGAGGTTCGCAAAGCTTTACTGTGCACTTACTGAGGTTCTTGGCTGCTACAAGGTCATTTATGATGAGAAAAAGAAAACAGCTGTACAATCCCTTGAGGCCTACTTCTAGAAAGTGATTCCAGTGGTAATCCACTCCAATTCTCCAGTAGCACAATCAAACCCTGCCTCTCCAGCACTAGGTCCCTCTCCATCATCATCAGTTTATCATAGGCTTAATGTTACCTCAAGAATTTTCTAAACTGTTTCAAGAACTGTTCCATTTGGGTTTTTTACAATACTGCATACCTACACACATACATACAGATTCTCTCTCTCTCTCTCTCTCTCTCTCTCTCTCTCTCTCTCTCTCTCCCTCTCTCTCCAGTACCTATAGTCACTTTATTAATACTTTATAATTATCATTATTACAATGCTGTATTATGTTTAAGATGTTTCAGTGAATATGGAAGTGATTCTTAAGTGTTTCATATGCATAGAAAAGTAAAATAACTTCACATAGAAAAGTAAAATAACTAAGAAAACTATTTCGCTTACTAATGTAATCCGACTTACATACAAATTCAATTTAAGGACATTCTCGGGAATAGAACTCCTTCTGAACCTGAGGACTACCTGTATTGTGCTAGAGATTGTTTATCCTAGCATAACATCAGTGGCAAAAGCAGAGCAACAGCACTGGATCTTGCCCAAAAGTGGGGGAAGGGGTTATCTCAAAGATAGCTTCTAAATCGTTTAAATACTTTTATTAAACCAATAAATGTTTTAACTGCTTAGATGTCTGCTTTTGAAAACTGGGAGTAGAAATATCTTCAAGAAGTATTCAATCACTTTGCCAGTGTGGTGTAACAGTTTTGCACAGGCTACTTGGGAGATTTGTGTTCTAGTCCCCACTAAATTATGAAGCTCACCAGGTGACTTTGGGCGAGTCACTGACTCACTGTCTAACTTACCTCATATGATTATTGTTGTGAGGATAAATGGAGAAGCATAAAATCATTTAAGTTGCCTTGGATTCCTAGCAGGAGGAAAGGTGGGATATAAATGTCATTGTTATTATTATTAATGCACAGGTGCATTTGATGGATGCCAAAATTGGCCATTCTATTTGGCAGGATGAACAAGAAGAGCAAGTTACCACAGATTATCCCCAGAATGGGTTTGAGATCTGTTTGCCTAGGCCTAGACAGTTGCCATGCCAAGTGACTTACGGCACGGTAAGCTGCCCCCAGTTAGTGGCCATCTCTATGCATCCTCTGAGTTCAGTGTTCAGAGCATAAGAAGTGCCCTGTTGGATGAGACCAAGTGTTCATCTTGTCACATTCTGTTCACAGTGGTCAACCATCTGCCCACAGAAGACCCACAAGCAGGACATGAGTGCAGCATCACCTTTGTGCCCATGTTTCCCAGCAACTGGTTCACACAAGCACACAGCCTCTGACCCTGGAGGTGGCAGCATGCATATGGCCCTCAGGACAAGTTGCCACAGATAGCTTCTCCACCATTAAATTGCCCCATCTCCTTTTAAAGCCATCCAGACTGGTGCCATCACAGCATCTCGTGGAAGCGAATGAGTTCCTTTTCTCTGTCCAGCATTTCCTACCAATCAGCATCACAGAATGACCATGGATTCTACTATTATGGGGAAAGGAGAAAAATGTCTCCCTCTCCACTCATTCCACACCATGCATAATTGTGAGCACTGCTTGACACTAAATAATCCATAGTGAATCCGCAAGATCACATGGGAAACAGGAAAGAAGGATGGAATTCAGCTTCTAGGAAAGTCTTGACCCAGTGCTGTTGAAATTCAAAATAACAGGAGGTTTCCCAGTAACTCAGCTTCTCCTCAGGCTACCTTTTTCACTCTCATTTTTTTCTAGGACAAAACTAGCAGTCACGCCCTGAATTCCATGCTTCCAACATGAGCAAAATAGTTTGCAGTTTTTTCTGTCCTCACTTGGGTTTATCTCCACCAGCAGCCCTTAGAATGTACATTAAGGGCCAAGCCTTGTTCTGATTGCATTATCATAGCCCACACAGTGAAGCTGCCAAGCCATTTTATACTGGCACTGTTGATATGTTTTCATCAATCACTCTTTTTCCAGCATCACATTAAGGGTACACATGTTATATAATATGTTGGTACACATAATCATCCTGTAGGCAGTTAAAAAATGGGGGGAGTTATAAAAAAAATTGTATAGTTTTGGAGCGCTGCTGAGAAAGCAGTATGCGTTTCCACGCTTTGGAGAAGGTGCAGGAAGAGGAGGAAGAGGAGATCCTTGCTTTGAGTTTAAACTTTAGTTTGGAATGGGAGGATGTGAAATTATAACGTCTAGTTTCCATCATTCCTTGTCTTCAGGACAGAAGCCGCGGAGAACGGACTGGGGCAGCAGCTGAAGGCAGAGAGACTTTCATCAGAAGCCCTGCTAGGGACGTGTGGGAGAGGCGAGGAGGCTGTGCCCGGGCTTCTCGGAACACGTCCAAACACACACACGCAACGGTGACTCAGTGCGCTGCCTCCAGCCCTGGTTTAAGTTAGGGGCCTTTCGCTTCAAGGGGTCGGCCCTATGTAGGACCCACGTTGGCTACGGCCGGGCGACGCCAAGTCCGGCAGGCAGCCGCGTTCTTTGGCCAAAGCGACTGAGGCGCGCTGCAGCCTCTCCCACACGCATGCCCTGCACCGGCTGCCGCAGAAGCAGGCATCGCCTCGAGTTTCCATAAAGAAAAAAAGGAGGCGAACATCTCTCCCTGCGTGCAGAAAGGGCTGGGGTAGTCCAAGCGCGCGTCCGCTATGGTGGATTGACCCTTTTCCACCCCGCGCTGCTCCAGATCCTTGGGGATGGGCCGAAAGCTCAGGCAGCTCCGTCCGCCAAGCCCCGAGCGAGCAGAACAAACCCCTGGCGCGCGGCCAGCGCTGTAACTTGGGAGATACCTCCCACTCGGCAGCCCTAAGTGTGTGTGCGTGTGCCTGTTTTAACAATACGGGATCTTCCTTCTTTGGCTCCTTTAAATTATAGATCAGGAACACCCTCAGCAGAGCCTCAAGCGAACCCAGGGCAGCATGTCTGGGAGCAAATACATAGATTCAGAGGTAGGACTTGCTTTGCATTTCTCAAATGCTTTTTCTGTTCTCGTTCCCCCGCCCTTTCGCGTTCCTGGTGCCCGGTACCTGTTCCAACCATCTCTGAGTACTCTTGGCGCTTCCCTTATCTTGTTCTCTGCCGTCCAGAGTTGGAAGACAAGACTGTTTTTTTTTTTTTTTCAAGGCAATCCGGAGTTATTTGTTTGTGTTGCTGGTAATCCGATCTCCTGGCCGGGCACTTGTTTTCGCTCCCCCTCCCCGCACCTAGCCGGACTTTTCTCGCCCAGCTTCTTTCCCCCACACAGCAGTTTCTGCGGGGGCATCCACCCAGGGCTTCACGTGTCCAGAGCGAGCTTTCAGGGAGACTACTCTAGAGTAAGTGCGGAGGGCTCACGTCTGCCCACACGTTCTCCCCGCTTGTTGCCTGTGCAAAAACGCACTGAAGCACGCTCTTTTCCCACCCACCCCTTCGAAGCGCTCCGTGCAAGCCTTACAAAGCGGTAGAGAAGGATTTCTGCAAAGACAGGCTGCAAAGCAAAACTGCAAGTATGCGAGGGACGTTTTATTTCTTCGGAGAGCGGTGGCTGCGTCTGCCTTGGAGCGCGGCGCGGAGCTGGGATTTCCCTAAAAGCCGAAGCGGCTTGGCTGCTGCCGCTGCTGCCGAAATACTGGAATTGATCGCACACCTTCAGGGTCGCTGAAGTCTGATCGCTGTGGCTTTTGGATACGGGGAAGGGGAAACTATTCCGTCTTACTTTGAGAGCCGTCCTTAAAAAAAGAAGGGGGTACGGCTGATGAGCAAGCGACTCTTTGAAGAGGTGGCATCCGTCAAGGGGAATATTGGAGCAGTTTTCCCCGACCGGGCGCCCTCAGGATGTTTGGGAGCGCTGCTTTAATCACCCCTCCCCCGCAAACTAACTTCCTGGGAATGATGGGAATTGCATTCCCACACCTGCAGAGCGCCAGGCTGGGGAAGGGCTCCGTGAGAGTACTCAAGAACCACTTTCTGCTGGCTTAACCCTTTTTTATCCTCGCAGAGCAATTTAATAACGGCGAACAGTTCGCGGCCCCCTTGTCCTTATGTTAGGTGCATGTTTATGGGTGAAATCGGGATCCTATACGTGTGAATTAGACTGAACGGATAGGAGAGGTTGTATTTCTTCTACGCGGATGAACTCCGAGCACAAAGAGGCAAACCGTAGTGGCTGCTTCACGGAAGACACTTTTTCTCCCCTAAGTTTTGGGGAGGCTTAGTGCATGCCTTGTGGGGAAGATGGGACACCCTCCTTCCACCGTTGGCTCCTTGCCCCCCCCCCCCCCGCTTTGCTGACCACCAAATGCTGCCGGATTCCTAAAGGTGGCCAGATTTCCTGCTGGCTTCAGGAGAGCGAGCAGGGCCGACTCTGCATAGGAAAAGCGCCTTCCTGGGTGTGGTGTGCCTAAAGTAACGACTCAAGAGACCTCGGGCCGCGATTCTGGGCACTGTTACTTGGGAATTCGCAGGATGTAACTTAGCGGGGCTGCTCAGAGGCGCAGAGTGCTCCGACGCACGTTTGCAGCCAGAGAAGCAGCGGATCCGTTTTGAGAAGATCCGAGTGATATTTCCAGCCCCCCCACACACACACACAGAGCACTCCTCCTGGGAGTTAGCCCGAAAGGAGCGAGAGGTGTAAACACGAGGCTGACGAAGCCTTCTCCAGGCGCTGGAAATTGGGGGCGGGCTGGCTGCGCCTGGCTCGCCCGAGCGCGCCGCAGCCCGGCCTACGTCTGGAGGGGACCCCTGGCGGCCCGAGGGGGAGTCGCGCTCTGCCTGGTACCGAGGGGTGTGGTGTAGGTACTTTTTATCCACTTAAAAAGCCAGCCTTGGGACATTCCCTGGATGAAGTTTCTGCCGGCTCGGTGCGCCCTCCCATCCAGCACAGCCGCTGCTCTGGACATCCGATGAGCGAGTGAAGCTTTTTTTTTTTTTTCCCCCGACCCCCTGACAGCCCCCATCCCAAAAGCGGCCCAGGACTGCTCGATAAAGTTGCCTGCTGCGGACTGACCGGTCGCTTTCCCACCTCTCCCTCTGTAGGATTTTGTGTACACCGCACCCCTCAGGGAGCAAGGCAACATCTATAAGCCCAACAACAAGGTCATGGAAGGTGAGAAGGAAATCCATGATGTGCACACCAAGGAGATCGACCTGGTCAATCGGGACCCCAAGCACCTCAACGACGATGTGGTCAAGGTAAGAAAGCAAAAGCACGGTGCAGGAGACCTCCCTGCAAAAAGGAGCGGCATGCAAGCTTTTGGGATCAGGCCAGTGTGACAGGGCAAGGGCAACTGAATCTCCCAGGTTTATATGAGAAGATGGGTGTGCCTCTGTGTGTGCTTTGGCTTGGCTTGGCTTGGCTGGAAAATCAACAGAAAGCATAGGGTGCAGGGAGATTCTCCAAGGAAACCGATCAAATTTGTCACAACTCTGTAACTGTGTTGCCTCATTTGTATAAGCTGAAAGTGCTTGCCTGGGTCCACTTGCATGGTGCTGCAGTTTTAGCTTTGTTGGGGAATTTTAGCTTCAAATTTCTTGCAAATCAACAGCATGTTCAAGAAGTGAATATCCTGTTGCAGCCTATCAATTTTCTCATGGAACTTTTCACTGAGGCTATTTACTGGCTTTTCCAGTGGGGCCCAATGCATAAATATTAAGATGAAAGAGCCGGGTGCAGGCTCCACCTTTGCCATCATTACAACTTTTCTGGAAAGACCGTAGCCCTCAAATTCTGCTGCTCATCTGTAAAATGGACTTATCTGAGCTCACAATACTGCTTAACATAAGAATGTGTTGAATAATGCTCACCTCAGTTACACAGAAAGTAGTAATAGCTTTTTCTCTGACCTGTTAAAGGAAAACATTGTTTCTGCATCGAAACATTTATCACAGTGATCTTACTCTTGTGTTCTGGTCAATGAATGCTTATGCTGTAATTAAGCAGGTTGTATTTAAAGGGTCACAAAATTATTTATTTTCTTAGACTGTAACCCTGAGCACCCTTACTAGAAATAAGTACCCTTGGGGCTCACGTCTGAGTAAATATGCCAGAGATTAGACTGTTCAGCAAAGCTTGTGCATGAAGGTTAAGGTTAAAATGTCTGCGCAGCTGGAACAGAACTTGGTAACTTGCTGTCCTGAATGAAAACTTTTGCAGGTTGTCTGACTAAATAGGAAAAAATGTATTTGTGCATTTTCTCATTGAATATCAAGCTGCCCATAAAGCATGGGCTAGAAGGTGGGGCTGGAAGATATTTTGGAAAGAAAAGAAAAGGGATCATAATTCCAGGCCGGCCCTATTATTAGGCAGAGTGAGTCAGCTGCCTCGGGCACCATATTCTGGCTGTAAGTAGTGGTAGCATGATATTGGATAGGCAAATTTGGGGTGCAGTCCTGTGCACATAAGTGGAAATAAGCCCTATTGAACATACTAAGCCTGACATCCTATTTCCTCTTACCTGAGAGTAAGGCCCACTGAATACAGTGGAGTTTGCTTCAGAGTAAGCATGTAATCAGTGCAAATTCATATAACTAATTATGTAAGCTTTCTTTAATTGTGTAATTAAATTAGGTGTGCCGTATCATTCCCTGTATTTCTCATCTTCCGGGGTGAGTGCCATTATTTATGTGGCCAAAATGTCACTACCTTTCAGGGAATCCCCAAGGTTTGCAGAAGCAGTAAAGCATATTTACAGGGAGGAAAAACTAGGGGGCAGTCCCCAGAAATAGCTTGATAAAGGTCAAGAGTATTTGAGAGCCATAAAATGATGACTATTAGTGGGAGGTGCAGGTATGGAAAACCAAAAGGTAGGCAAATAGATTGAAATACCGTGCAGAAAAGTGTGGCTACCTGGCGGAAATCCAAAGGTTGCAGATCCCACTTGACCTACATGAACTATGTTATATAGACCTGGATTCGCATGGAATAATTTTTGCAAGAATGGCTATATTCATGAAGTCTGAAGCATTCAGTGAGATACCACCTCAGCCAAATGGAGGCAAGTGTACGCATACAGAGAGAGAAATAGTTTTTCCAATCTAAAAATGCCAGAAATAGGGGAGGAGAAATCATCAAATGACTTGATGGAAAAGTCTTTCTGGATCTCTTGTCAGTTTTGTAAATGGCAAACTTGGTTCATTCCAACAAATTTGGGTCAATGGAAAGAAACTACTATTGGGGCCCATATGAGTCAGGGAAATCATGGATGTTATCTGCTCTTGGCAGAGATACATCAAGCTGCAGATGTGACAACCAAGGGTGGTGCAATCCAAGTTTTGCTGGACTTTAGGCAAACCATCTTTCTACAATCCCCTTAATTTAAAACAGCACCACTACACCATTTAGCCTAATATGTGGGAGAAGCTCAGCTCCCCCCTCCCCCCACACACGGTTGCAATCGGAAGTACTGTGGAGAAAATGCATCTGTTTATTTATTTATATTTTGTATCTGCCCGATAAACAAAAGAACACAATGCCAAATAACAGTCAGGAAACTAAAATGCAGTATAAACATTCAGAATAATAGAAGACAATATGTTGCAGTACAAAACAATAAACAGCAAGCAGGAAAGAATAAAATATTCCTGAAAATCTAGAACTAGATCTTTAATATTCCTGGGAGAAAAGTGTTGGGAGAGAGAGGGATGGTGGGCTTGGGCAAGTGTTCCCACGGAATACTGGCCACATCCCAGCTGCTGAATTAGAATCAGAAGACGATGAATGTCTCAGTGAGATTGGGGAGCATGGGTTAGCTCAAAGTTCTGGGATGCAAAAGGAGGAGGAGGTGATTATCTTAAGGCCGGATGCTTTGCTGTGCCTGACAGTTCCCAGAATGGCCCAGGCATACTGCCACTGGGAAGGGCGGCTGGGGATAAGGAACTCCCAGACACAGACCAGCCCCGTTTCCGCTGAACTGGACCCTGTGGCTTGTGTCAGCAGAGGCGAGAGGCCCAACTAAATCAGCAGTGTGCAGAGAGGAGGTGTACTTACCTTCAGAGAGCCCCTCCTGGAGGGTTGGGCCCAGGCATGTTCATAAGGAGAGTTCCTGGAGATAGTCGCTGGATTGGGCTTAACCAACTGCTCTGTGCATGCTCAGAGATCTGATTTGGGTGATTTGTACTTGGAAGCAATAAAGAACATTTTGTAAGGAAAGCAGACTGTGGCTGGCATTTGTTTGAAGGAGGAACCTTGGCATGTGACCAGACAATAACAATGTAGGCAAACCTCTCCAGGGAGGTCATTCCATGAGCAGGGTGCCACAACTGAGAAGACTCCTCCTCTTCCTTGTAGCCACCTATCTAGCTTCCTTGGCCAGGGACACCTGGAGGAGGGGCTCTGAAAGTGCCCTGGGGGTCTGATCAGGTACATATGGAAGGAGGTGCTCCTTTAGCTGCTCTGGTTTCAGGCTGTGCAGGGCTTTAAAAGTCAGTACTGACTTAGAATTTTGGATTCAACACTGAATTTTGTTGGAAAGCTGACAAAACACTGGCGTCACATGAACCTGTTGACTGTGTGGACAAGTGTATATAAAAGTGTTCACTGAAGTTTGGGTGTTTTGTGGGACCTGTGTGAGGTTATAATAGGTATATCTGTACAGAAGCCTAGCGCTATTAGTAGTAGCTTCTTGGTGACAGTTCCGAAAGGGAGAATACCACTTTGATATTTTTCATTGAGGCCTGGGGTTGGGTGAAATTGGCAGGGGAGGTCGAGGTAGATGGAGAAGAGCAGTTGAGAAATGGCAGTGGATAGTGAGAGGTCAACAGTTTGAGTCAGTTAAGATGAAGGCCTGTTTAAAAAATCTAAAAAAATATAGGATATAACTTTCAGCATGCTCCAGCCAACATGCTGTGATTGTACCCTTCCCCCAACCTTGCATAGGATTTGACCCTTAGGCAGTTGGTAGTCAGAGGAAGGTCTGCTGGTTAGTATGTGGTGCAGTAGAAGTACTAGCTGAGGAGAAAATGAAGAGCTGAGGCCTGAATATTCAGTTATTCCTTCCCTGTGGGATAACTATATCTGGCTGGTAAAGAGAGCAGTAGCGAGCAGGTAGTTGTCTTATGCCAGATGGCTGCTCTAAACTCCTACCTCCCGAAGGATGCAAGGAAACATTAAAGTTTAGGTAAATGAGCCAAGCAGGCAGAAATACAACCGGATAAGCTTTGGCATCAGAGGAAGACCACCCAAGAATTGGACCTGGGTGCAAGTGTATTTGGCCGGGTTGCAGATTTAGGGAATATGGGCTGAAGTAAAGGACACAAAGTCCTTAATAGCAGAATCCTGTGGCTGGTAGCTAACCATAGGAGAGGTCCCTGACCTTGAGAAGGTGCTCTGAGAATGGAGCTGGGTCTCTGACCATGGAGTGCCTTCCCTGTGCCCTTGCAGCCAGTGTGGTTGTTTCCACATCAACTGCAGATCCAAGGTCTGAACCCCAACCTCACACCAGAGGTTTGTGGGCACTGCAACCCGTGGGGTGTGTTGGTTGGAGTGTTGGAATGGTGACCTAGGAGATCCAGCTTCTAGGGCCCACTCATTTTGGGTCACATGTCCTCAGCCTAACCCACCTCACAGGCTAGTGGTGGTAAGGATAAAAATGGAATGGGGAGAACTATGTAAGTCATTTTGGGTTCCTACAGGAGGAAAAGAGGTGGGATATAAATGCAAAGTGGTGGTGTTAGTGGGATTAAGAAGGAACAGAGCTTCCAGACCTTCTAGGTAGATTTGAAATCTGACAATCTCATATTCCGTTGATTGAACTGATACTTGAGTAGTCACATCCTGAGAGGAAACTACCTCATTTATTTAATCCACTCTATTTTGGTTCCTTTGTTATATTTGCTTTGCCTCAGCACTGATTTAGAGCCCCTTTCCCTGTGCTATTCACAGGAAGCTTTTGACATGGAGTGACACTCAGATGTACCATTCCATAACTTCATATTAAACTGGTAAAGTCTTAAGAGAACCACATCATGTATCCCCATCTCCCAGCCAAATATTTCATTTGGTTCTTAGCTTTAAAGGAAGAGGCCACTTCACATTCACTTTGTTCTTACATGGTGCACAAACTCATTGTTGGGAGGGGAAACCAAAGGGTTTTCTATTCTAGCTTCCACCCAGCAGTCAAAAATTCATCATCTTCCCCATAGGTCATCCAGCAAAATTCTTCCCACAGTTCTGGCATTTCCATTTCACAGCTTGA